TGATTAGTAATTCTAGGTTTTAATCTTGAAACCGGAAAAAGGAATATCATCACCTAGGATCGATGTATCTACAATTTATATGGTTTAATCATTAATGGGTTATTACTACTATCCCAAAAATCTGAATCCTTAATCTAGGGTGCCTTAATACTATGATATGGTTTTACTTGTTATTGATGATGCAAAAATCTCTCTGAATCCTCTAATTAGGGTGACTTAATACTGATTAAGATTTAAGGGCTTGTTCTTTTTTTTTTTTTTATCATATGTAACAAAATAAAGCTGGATGCAAACGCATTAGACGCTATTGCTTTGGTCACTAAGAAATTGGATCACTTGGTTATTGAATTTATAAAGATTTATGCATAAGAAAATGTTTGATAGAAGTTTCTTAACCAAAATTAGATGAGTAGTTATATATATAAATTTACTTGAATCATCTCGTTTACTCTTATAACACAAATTTGAAATATTTTTGACATATATTAGTGAAAGCACTACGGGAGAGACTCAAGTGTAAAGAGAATGCACAATGAACAAACGAACATTTCCCGTAACAAAAGCAGTTGTACCTCATGCCTAATTCTACCCATGGCACTCACATTATCAAATGAGCATTTGACTTTGGTTTTGGTGTAGGTTATAAAATCCTAAAACCTATATGCTCGCATTTATTTTATTACTCTTTTCTGTTAAAAAAAGAAAAATAAACATTTTCTACACTCATTCAACTTTACTCCCAAATTTCAAACTTGCAATAAACAAAGCATTTGATGTAAGTTGTTTCATATAGGGGCCATTGAACTCTTTCGTATGTAAGCAGTTATATTGTTGGAAGTGCAGAATGGTTCTCTAATATATGCATTTCAGGCGACATGTGGAATAAGTATAACGAATTTATCCTTAATCATATCTTTATGTTCTACACAAATTAAGAGTTCTTATTAGCAAACTAAATCCTTCTATACAGGACCGTGCCCATGTTGATGAATTAGAGGCGGTCGCATTGTAGTAATATTATAGCTCGGGCAAATATAATCAAACCATAATAATATATTTAAATTACTAGATAGTTGTACTAAGACAACAAAAAACTAGGGTAATTAAGGAACATCACCTTACATCTTCACTTTCTTTTCACGTCGCCACTTCACTATTAAATAATTTGAATATTTTTTTTTTAATCATTTGCAAGCAACAATCACAGTTCACAAATAGGTTTCGTTCGAGTATGTCACGAATAAGTTT